TCTCTGTGTGTGTGTGTGTGTGTGTGTGTATGTGTGTGTGAATGTCTTCCTCGTCTCTCGGTAACTCTCTCTCTCCCTCCACTAAGCTATGGCGCCGGGATCCATGGACCACCACCCTAACGCTCTGCCTCACTCGGTACTTGACCTCACTAGTCCACGCAGCAGGGGTTCCCTGACAGGCACAATGCAAATTTTGTCTCGCTTGGCGGTTGGCCACACAGGTACGAAACACACGCTTCTGCGACAGGGATGAATGCAAATTTTATCGACGCTTTGCGGCCAGCGGACTTTGTATTTGCCGCAATACAATAGTATTAAGCCGTCTTCTGTCCTCTCGTTGCGCTACGTACAGAAATGCGGCAATACAGACGCTCAGCTGCGGAGCTGCTTCAATTTAAACTGGCCATTTTGCTTTTTCTCGTCAGATCTCAAATCGAGTGTTTACAACTTTACATTAACTTTAAGATCTTCATGAATTAAAAAAATAAACAAAAAAATCTTCATGACAACGCTAACTTTCCCGGCTTTTCAACAGATTGGGATTAGCTGTCACACAAATGCACAAGGTTTCGATGCGACGAGAAAAAGAGCAAGAGAAAAAGCTGATTCAATTCGAGCTTGCTGTTTTGCTTTCTCGTCAGATCTCAAATTGAGTAACCCGTTTTTTATTTATTTTATGTTTTATTTATAGGAAAAAAACACCCGCTCCAGTGCTGGTGGTGCTGACAGGGGGCAGACACGAATCCCGTGTTTTTGTAATTCTTTGACGAAAAAAAAAAAAAAAAAAACTGGCACACAAATGCACAATGTTTCCTACAACAACCCGGACGGACTTGCACACACACAAAAAAAAGCGAAAAAAAAAAAGCAGAATGTTAAATGTTTCGATGCAAAAAAACACAAAAAACAGAGAGGAATAGAAGTTCGCTCACCTGAGAAGCTGCTTCAGTTCGAGCTTGCCGTTTTGCTTTCTCATCAGATCTCGGATCGAGTGTTTATATTTCTTCATTACAATGCACACCTTCCCGGCTTTTCGACAGATACCAATTAACTGACACACAAATGCACAATGCTTCGATGCGAAAAAGAGCATCTCCATTTCCTTCGCGAACGCCGCATCTGCCGTGCTCTGCACCACCGCGCCATCCCTCTGCACCCTCAGCGAAGACAACGATGAATGAAACAAGCTGAAAAAAGAGCCACATGCACACCGATTCCACCACCATGCAAAGACAAAACGCAGCACAGTCAACAACTTCCAGATGGTTTCTCCTCCCCGTCCCCCCCCCCTCCACCAATGGCACTAACCCAAAAAAAAAAAAAAAAAAAAAAAAAAAAAAAACCTTCCACATGATGCAAAAATGAGCACCATGGCACCACCTGCACCATCACAGTTCTTCGGAGCTATAGAACCCGCCCACAGATGATAAACTACCTACCTACCTACCTACCAACTTCACCTAACCACCTACCTACCGACGGTACACTACCTAGCACCTTCTGAATCCTCGCGAATGACAATGATGAATGAAACTAGCTCAAAGAGCCATGCCACCACCTGCACAATCACCGTTCTTCGCAGCTACAAAAACTTGCGTACAGACGATAAACTACCAACTTAACCTACCCTCCCACCTACCTACCTACCCACCTACCCACCTACCTACCCACCTACCTACCAACCACCTTAACCTACCCACCTACCTACCTGCCAATGGTAAACTACCTATTACCATCCAAACCCTCCCGGATCGCAACGATGAACGAAACAAACTCACAGCGCCACGCCACAACACAATGCACAGTCACAGTTCTCTGTATCTGCATACCCCACCAACAGACGGCAAACCACCTACTGTCACCTAACCACCTACCTACCAGCTACAAACTACCCACCTACTTACAGTACCCTACTTACCTACCTACTGACCGTCACCTTACTACCTACGCATTCACCGTAAAAACGCTAACTAAGAATCTACTGACGCTAACCTAACTACCTACCTTCCAACAGTAACCTTACTACCTAACCCAACTACTGTCAGTAACCTAACTACTTAACCTAACTACTTAACCTAACTACTTAACCTACCTAAACCTAACTACTTAACCTAACTACTTAACCTAACTACTTAACCTAACTACCTAACCTGACTGATGGTAATCTAACTACCTCACCTGGCTACTGACTTTAACCTGACTACATAACCGAAGTGTCGAACCTGGCTACGTCACCTGACTACCTGACCTATCTACGTAACCTAGCTGACAGTAACCTAACGACATAACCCAACGGACGGCAACCTAACCACCTAACCTAGCTGACGATGACCTAACTACCAACCTACAGTCTCCTAGCTAAGAAGCCATGATAATCTGCCCACCTGCCTACGTATACCTACCTCCCATAGGCTATCTCCATAATAAGATCGCCAAGCCGCCTTGCTACGGTAGCATCCTGTTGACGCGAAGTGCTAGCCATCCACCTCGCTACCTGTCTGGCTACCAACCTACTCAGCTTCCAGAGTACCTACGTATGGTGGAAGCCATCGCAGTGGTGATAGCCACCCACCTAGCTACCTGGCAACCTGCCTGGCCGCCTCCCTCCCTCCCTTCCTCCCTCTCTCCCTCCCTCCCTACCTACCTACCTATCTACCTACCTGCCTTCGTACCATTGAAAAAAGACAAAAAGAAGGGACAAAGAAAAACAATAGTACGGGGCCTACTAGCAACGCATCCTGCATAAAGACAACAAGGATGATGTATGTAGTATATACTACATAGTGTATAGCTAGGCTTCCTGAGCCGCCCGGCCAGGCCAGCACGGCTGTGCACCTGTGCAGCCTGCAAGGCCGGGTGGCTGCACGGGTCACCCGTGCGAGGTATTAAAAAACTTAAAAAAAGGAAAAAACTTTAAAAAAGAAAAAAGAAAAAAAAGCGGTGATGGAGAACCGCAGCACATGCAGAGAAGTGCTCAAAGCTGTCTTCTCCACACATGTTTACCACACTGCTACTTGGGAGGTTGCCAGTGGCGGGAAGGAGGAGGAGGACGGCGGGAGAAGAGGTAGGAGATGGCAGGAGAGGCGCAGAGAATGGCAAGAGGGAGGAAGAAGATGGCAGAAGAAGAGGACCAAAGTGGCAGGAGGGAGGCGGAGGATGGTGGGAGGGACGTGGGAGATGGCGGGAGGGGAAGTGGGAGGTAGAGGGAAGTAGGTGGGAGACGGGGGGATGGAGGTGGTACATGGCGGGAAGGCCGCACGGGGCCCGTACGGGGGACCCGCACGGCCGTGCGGCCGTGCAAGGATCCGTGCGTGCCTGGGGCACCCGTGCGCACAGAAATGAAGCCTCGGTGTATAGCCAATACAGAGTCCTGTAGTACAGGGTTGAATTCTTTTCTTTTCTTTTTCTTTTCTTTTCTTTTCTTTTCTTTTCTTTTTTTTTCTTTTCTTTTTCTTTTTTGGTTGATTTCCCCCCCCCCAAATCCGTTCTTGACAAGGAAATTCCAAGAAAAGGATTGGAGAGATTAAACCACCAGCACGTTTCCCTGCCATTTTTTTCAGAGTCGCGGCAGCCATTTTTTTCGGAGTCGCGGCGTGCATGCTGCCGAGACTCTCGGGAAGCACCGGGTCACGTCCTTCAGGACATCGGATAAACCGCCAGTACACAGCCTCAGCCTTGGAAGATTTCTTTTTCATCGCCTACTCCTAAAACTTCGGACACTTGGGGCTACAGGACCACAATGGCTGGCCGAGCCAGCCAGCCAAACAAGAAAAAAAAGTGTGTCAGTAGTGATTCGGCAAAGTTTGGCGCTCAGTGCGGCGCCCCCACGCCCCGGTGTACTGGTGGTTTCAACGGATTGGAACAATACAGAGACACGATTAGCATGGCCCCTGTGCAAGGATAACGCACATACATCGTGAAATGGTCCCCCACCCCCACCCCCACCCCCACCCAAGCCCCCCGAAAAAAAAAAGAAAAAAAAAAAGGGAAAAAACAAAGAAAGAAAGATAATCATAGATATATAATTAGAATTAAGATGGTCAACTCGTACAATTACCATTTGACTGCAACAGGAACACGCCTGCCAGCTTCTTCTAGCCATGCCGTTCTGACTTCGCCAAATGCTCCTTCGCCAAGCTTCGCCCCCAATTCCAGTTTCTCTGGGGGTATCCACAGACTGAGGGGAACCACCGGCGTTGCGTCATCTCCATTTATATCGCTGCATAAAAACCCGGAGGTCGCCCCCCCCCCAAAAAAAAAAAAAAAAAAAAAAAAAAAAAAAAAAAAAAAAATCGCGAAAAGGAGAGCAGACCACAAACCAACACACAATGTTAAGATTTTCAGAGGGGTCAAGAGGGGTCAAGACGGGTCGAGCAAAACACACCAAAGAGTCCGTCTCCACTCTGTACTAGTCTACCTGACTGAGGGCATACTCACACGACTTTTTTACGTATTTCTGAATGGAATGGCGGCCGGATACATCCAGGTATGGCCGTAAATGCGGTCAGATACATCATTTGAGATACTGTTAGTGTGAGGACGCCCTGAGTCTATGCTTGCCGGTGATAAGCAGCCGAAGTGTTGGCGCCCAGACTAAATGGGGTCCGGGTTTTTGGGAAAAAAAGAAAAGAAAAGAAATACACCAAAGCGCAAGAGGGGTGAGACATGCGAGATGAGGCGCGGCAAAAAAGGCAGGGGGGAGCGGGAAAAAAAGTGCGCGCGCGTGTGTGTGTGTGTGTGTGGGATGCGGCACGGCAAAAAGGCAGGGGGGGAAGCATACACAGGGTGTGGAGGGCAGGGTGCGGTAGGGAAGGAGGGTAAGAAGGGCCACTTTTGTGGGGGGAAGGGTTTCCAAGGGAGCTTAGGGACGGGACATGCGCAGGGATAGGGCTCACGAGGAACGAGGCAGAGGGGGACAGTGCAAAGGGGGGGTGTGGTAGGGAGGGTAGGGGAAAGGAAGGATCATTCATTTTTGTCGGGGTAAGGGTTGCAAAGGGAGCTTCGAGATGAGACATGTTTTGTATTGTCTGGCTTTATGGGCCTGTCGCATTCGTTTTTTCCCCCCAGGAACAGAGGTTTCACAACAGCAGCCCAGAATTGGCTATTTCTGTGCCAAATAAATAGTAGGTATTCCCTTGGAGCTGAGAGGAGGTCTGCATGAGCGACGTCCTCATGTATATCATCAAGTTGCTGCTGAAGTGTTCCTGGTTGCATCTGTAGATTGTACGCTACAGTCTTCCCTCGAATACAACGTACAGTCGTTATAGCTGAATTTGGGGTATCCTTCAGTATAAATTCAGCTATAATGACCGTACATTGTATTCGGGGGAAGACTGTAGTATAGATGCTGTTGAGGTTGTAGCGCGATATAGAAGAGACACTGGATGCGTTGTTGGTGGAGGCGAGTTGGGGGCTAACATCGACAATCGAGTTCATCGCTTTGCTCTCATTTGGTGTGTAACTCGGTACACTCTGCTTTCTTCTGAGCACACGACTATCTGGCTTTGAATGTGATGATGCAATTTGGTTTTCTTTTTCTTTTTTTCTTTTTTTTTTCTTTTTTTTTTGTCATTCGCTCTCACTCATTTTCCTTGGATGGGGAACAAGGCAGGTGGGAAGCATAAAGGGGGTGTGGAGGGAGGGAGGGTGCGTGGGGGGGCGGGGGTAGACATCTAGATGTGTATAAGAGACAGGTCTCAACATCATCAACGAACAACCAATGTTGATATCCTATCTGGCGCTCGGCGCCCAGACTACGAATGGCAGATCCTATCTAGCCTAGACTACAATGTCGCTGATGACGTCAACAGCTTTCCCAAGTACGAGCAGATCTCCGACAATGCCGCACTCCTCAAGCACCAGGTATGTCTCTCGTATCACTCACAACCTCGTTCCCCAACTCAGAGATGCCACTTGCACCCAAGGACCACCATGCGCCCCGTCCAGCATACAGCAGCGCAGCTCGGCTATGGCTGCCTGCTCCTTCCAGCTCGCCCGTCAGCGCGTGAGCCTGGCCAGCGTTAGCGCAGCATGCAGCCAGTGCCCGAATGTCAAATGCGGGGGCAGGCCCTTCCCTATATCAAAGTGGCCTGCTGCTGCGTGCTGTGCTGCGGTACTGGGCCTCGGCCCAGAAGCTTCCGGTAGGCCCAGGGAGGATGAGCCTCCGCCCAAACGAATCAGGCCCAGGGCCACCGACAGTTACCTGTGCCCAACTGCCCACAGTCTGAGTTGGGTCCATGCTGCGTATCTCGCCCAGGGCCTATGCTGCGTTCTCGCCCAGGGCCTGACTTAGATACATTTGATAAAGAAGGCCAGGGCCTGGGCGCCTTCAACCAACTGGCGCTGCGCGACTGCCTGAACTTTACCCCAGTTGCGAAGTAGCCCAAATTAGGCCTCTTGTCATCTGTCGAGCCTGCCTTCACTTAGGGCGGCCGACCTGTTGCAAGTAGGGGCCCGGAAGGGCTTATTGAGGCCTTGTGCCTCGCATTTATTTCATTAAATATTATTAATAATTTATTATTATATTTAACAATTATTTTATTCTATTTATATTTATTTTTATTTTTTGGGGGGGAAATTATATTTATTTAATTTATTATTACAATAATATTATTATTTTAATTTTTTTTATTTTATTATTATTATTATTATTATTATTATTATTTTAATTATAAATTATTATCATAATAATAGTAATTATTATTATTATTATTTGCTCAAATGTTGTCATTCAAGTCATAAAAAATTCAATCAAGTCCATTCTGTAACCCTTCCCCCATCCCTCCCCCCCCCCCCCCCACAAAAAAAAAACAAAAAAACAAAAGGGAAAAAAAAAAGAAATAAAAGTTAATTTACTCACGAACTCATGACGCCCGAACCAATGAAAACAACCACAAGGAGATAGTGTATTAATCTCTCAATTCCACACTTCACGAGCTCNCCCGCTCCTCCCTCTTTCTCCCTCTCTGTCCGCCTCCTGCAAATAAACAAGACACTTAATGATATGCCGACAACCCTGCAGAAATCACCTGCCGAGATGTCATCGATGAGTTTTCCATCTCTGTACTTCCCTCCCATACATATACAGATCTTGACTAAGCGGTCCACCGCAACAAGACGTAAACTGAATTCACTTGCCAATGATGTCCTTCTCGACGGTCAGAGTCGTTGACCGTGCATGAACCAGCAACCCCCTCGTCCATTGCATGTGCCCTCTCCCAACATGAGCCTTGATGAGAGCACAAAGGAACAGATCCATGTCAATGCGATGAAAGTTCATGAAACCTTCCTCTCACAACTCCGCCATCCTCTGCACCACCCAAACACACACATCCACTTGTCAAGTCAGGTATTCACACACCTACACTGCCACGAGACCACAGCCTGTCCAAACCTGAACCAGGTTCCAAGCCAATCCTTAATTGGGTTCAAAGCCCACAGAAGTGAAGGCAATACCAATTCCTATGCTAAACAAGGAAACAGCGAGTGATCTGCCATTTTGTTAACAATGAGATGTGTGTGACATCTCGATTCTGTTTCCACTCTCACGAACTGCCGAATCAGTTCACATCATAGTTGCGGTGCATCTATGCGCTGTGTGATGCGCCGCGCGCCCCCGGGCCGCACATGCACTGATGCTCACGCATCGCGCATCGACGCGCTATGCGCGATGTGCGATGCGCTGCACAACACTTCGCTGCGCAGCGCGCCAGTGCGCGGGGCTCGCGCATCGGCACGTGTGGTGTGTTTTTCAACGGTGGGGAGGATTGAGGAGGAGTAGGAGAACGGTGACGAGGGAGGACGGAAGGAATGGAGAAGGGAGGAGCACATCAATGACGAGGGAGTAGGGGAAAGGTAGAAGGGCGAAGGGAGGATGGAGGAGGGAGGAGGGAGGAGGGAGGAGCACACCGATGATGGAGGGAGGGAAAGGAGAACGACGGAGGGAGGAGGAGATCGATGACAAGGGAGGATTGAGGAGGAAAATAATGATGATGAGGGCGGGCGGAGGGAGTGGAAAAGGGAGGAACAAACCGATGACAAGGGAGTAGGGGGAAGGTAGAAGGGCGGAGGGAGGAGCACACCGATGACGAAGGAGGGAGGGGAGGAGAACGACGGAGTGAGGAGGAGATCGACAAGGGAGGATTGAGGAGGAGGAGAATGATGGGGAGGATTGACGAGGAGGAGAACAATGGGAAGGATTGGCGAGGAGGAGAACGATTGGGAGGATTGAGGACGAGGAGAACTATGGCGAGGAAGGACGGAGGGAATGGAGGAGGGAGGAGCACACCGATGAAGAGGGAGGAGGGGGAAGGTAGAAGGGCAGAGGAGTAGGAGAACGGCGATGAAGGAGAGCGCTATGATAAGCGGGGGAGTAGGAGAACAATGACGAAGGAGGGAGGAAGGGGGAGAAGGAGAAGAACGATGACATTGGAGAAATGGGGAGGAGGAGGAGCTGCACAGTTTCCACACACACACAGCGAGCGAGAGAGAGAGAGAAAGAGAGAGAGAGAGAGAGAGAGNGAGAGAGAGAGAGAAAGAGAGAGAGAGAGAGAGAGAGAGAGAGAGAGAGAGAGAGAGAGAGAGAGAGAGAGAGAGAGAGAGAGGGGCTGGCGGTAACCCACCTAGATATGGCTGCTTCCTTCGCCCCCTCCCGCTCCTGCATCCTTCAGCTACTTCCCGGCGGCGTGGGCCAGGTCCGAGTAGTTCAAAAACGAACCACTCGGTCCCCGCATTTTTTTTTTTTGCGGGGTCCCCCACGCCCTTAAATTGCTTTTTTTTTTTTGGTACCAGGCAGCGCGAAGTGCCTAGCGGGCTTACAACCCCCCCCCCCACCCCCCCGCAAACTTTTTTTTTTTTCGGTGGACTCTGTAAATTTGGCATGCACTGCATGCCGTGCGCGCACATGGTGCGCGCTGCGCAGTGTGCACTTTGCAGCGCATGTCGATGCGCCGCATCCATGGTTCACATTCATGATTTCATGTCTTTTGTCTGCCTTTTCAGGTGCTTTTCACTGTTTGCGTTTACGTATGATGTTATGCGTGTGACATTCTCTTTTTCAGCGTGACATCTTACCGAAGGAGATATTTTTGGAAGAACATTCTACATCTAGGGATTCAAGTGGGAGGGATGGTGCAGGGCTCACTATTTTGCTATTTTTAGCACTTTCTCTTCAGCCTCGTTTGTCTGTGGATATCGCATCATGGCATGCAACCCACAGTTTGGACCATTTCTTGATTTATGTGTCATCCTCGAGAAGTGGCACATGCATATCTTTCTCTTTATCGTTTCAATTTCAATTTTAATGACTGTGATGTGATGTCCCGAAGGACAAACCCTAAGTTTAGATACCACTTACACAGTCCAAAGCCGCTTTGCAATTCTTCCTCCCCCTTTCCATGTTGCCCTCCAGAGTTTTCTTTACGCTCATTACAAAACGTCCGACAAAAGATCTATTCCTGTCTCCCATCACATCACTTCCATGTCAAGAGCCCTGTTTCCATTTTCCTTTTCCCAGGTGCTTCAGTTGTTGCGAATCGTGCGAGCAAATACCTTTCCGCCGGCATCCTGAAACATGCCTTCTATAGACAACCATTCTTTAATACAACTTCATAAGTAAGTTCTTACACATTTCTGCCCCTTTCTATGTTTTCTACACACATGTTCTTCCGCGCCCCCCCCTCCCCTCCTCTCTCTCTCTCTCTCTCTCTCTCTCTCTCTCTCTCTCTCTCTCTCTCTCTCTCTCTCTCTCTCTCTCTCTCTCTC